CATTAATTGTCTTTGAGTGATAATGCGCTGAGATGACCGCACTCGCAAACACTATACAGTATTGTATATGACTATCTGTAAGGTAGGGCATTACGTCCCAAGCGATACTAACACCTACCAACACAGGAGATTGGTAAATATGATACTATATGACTGCCTGAAATCGCTAAGTTGTCAAAGCAGGACACATTAGCAGTATAATCACTATCTAATCACTTTTCGTCGATGGTGTAGATCGTCTATACTCCAGTCAAGATGCTTCTGCTCACGTAGACGTGGCAGACTAGAACATTAGCTGTTAGTTTTACCCGTGTGAACAGAGTATTTATCATACACTAACAGGTCTAGTATTATAGGCTTATACTATGCTCTCTCTCTCTCTCTCTCTCTCTCTCTCTCTCTCTCTCTCTCTCTCGCTCTCTTATGGTTCGTTTCCCATGTTGCATATATGAACTTGCTTCGCACAGTAACAGCTTTCTTTATTCCTATCATTTGTTGCTCTCCCACACGCACGCACGCACCCAAATACACGACCCCACAAACATATACACTATACTTCTCTTGGTAATTGTTTATTATTGACGGTAGACATTAATATTATGAATCATAATGCGTTTTATTAGATCAGTGTTCAAACGTACAGTTACTTACAAAAGGTTACAAAGAGTTTTCATGGCCACATGTTAGGTAGATTCAAAACACCAAAAAAATCACAAACATAACACAGTCCGGTTGTATACCTTAAAGGTTTGAAGACTTTTTCAATTAATTCCTAGTCCAGCTTCCACTTTGGAAAGAAACTGTAACAGTTGAGTGGCATTAGTTGGTATTCTACACTGCTCCATGCTTCTGCTCATTTAAATAATTTTTTTTTCGTCATTTTCTTCTTCGTTTTCTCTCCCGTGTGAGTTCTCATGTGTGTCTTCAGAGTACCTGGTTGTGCGAAGGTAGCATCACACAGATCGCACTTATAAGGTTTCTCTCCCGTGTGAGTTCTCATGTGTGTCTTCAGATTACCCGATTGCGAGAAGGTAGCATCACACAGCGCGCACTTATACGGTTTCTCTCCCGTATGACTTCTTATGTGTAACTTCACACTACTCAGACAGGAGAAGGCAGCATCACACAGTTCGCACTCATATGGATTTTCCCCGGAATTAATTCTCACGTACTCCATCGTGCTTCAGGGAAAGCTGCCACGTACTGGTCACACACGTCAGGTGTATATCCTGTCTGGCGCTCAAGTTACGACCACGTGTTTTGCTTCGTAGGCTGCATTGTCTCACTTGTAGAATTCACGTCCTATATAGGCTCTCCTACAAATTAGTAATAAGAATACAAATAAATTCATTGAACGCTGCGTATTGATGTAGAACAAAAACGCGCCCCGTTTATTCTGTTTATGCTGAATATCGAATTATATTATCATGGATGGACGGATTGTCATAAAATTTTCAGGATAGGTCAGAAATGGGGTAACTTACAATTGATTACATTTTGGTGGTGATCCGGATCCAATTAATTATTTAATTAATTAATTAATTAATTAAATTTTTCAGTCAGAGAATTGAGCTGCCTTGGCGGAGGTCTGCGCTCTCCGAGTGCTCTAGTTGGTTGTGTTATACAAAGACTAGCATAGGTACTCCTTGTAGAGCAAATCCTGACACATATAGGCCTACTCACTCAATTCTTAGCGTAAAGTCGCAATAGAGAAACGAAATACCTAAGGGAGAAAACAATATTGGGACATAAACAGTTTGAAAGATTGTATGATTTCATGTAGTCAGTCTTCTAAATATACATTGTGTAGAAAATGCGCCAAGTTACTATGAATATTATGCTTGTCTGGCGGTGCCTCAACTGGTGATGTCATTAGCGCGCACTATTCCAGAATGTGCTGCGAGCCATTCCAACATGCATTGCATGCTACGACAACAGCAGCCATTTCGAAGTATTCGTACCTTTGATATTTTACTTGCAGTTAAATGGTATTTTTTACTTTTAGTCTATCCTTTTAAAGCAGCTGATTCTCGCAACAAAATGCTTAAAAACACCTACTGTGAGCATACTTGCAGTATGAAAACATGACGAAATGTTCTCATTAAGCCAGAAATGTGATCCGAGGTAGAGCATTTTGAAGACTGAGTTTTGGCATATAGATTTATCAACATATCGATAGTGGGGTCTGATTTGAGGATGGCGGTTTAACCATTTATCTCTCACTTTTATTTGAGGGTGTATTAATTTTACAGTAAACGAAAAATACTGATATTTAGACTCGAGTCATATATCAATATTTGTTTCAAAAAAATTGTATCTAAATATATATAAAATCTGACATTTTACCTTAAAATGACATTTAATTTTTCAAAAAAAAGGGAAATGGGGTGCTTTCATAGTACAATTTCACTTATTTATTTTTGAAAATAATATTCTGGTTAGAAGCATCAATAATAAGTCAAATTCTTAAAAAAAATGTATTGAGTAGTTTTGAAGATATATTTTCTTGAAAGTTAGTGGACGGCGACTATCCTATAACATCCTATAGGTTAATTCCTATAGGATCCTATAGGAATCATGTTCCAATTCTCTATAGGATCCTATAGAAACTATAAGATTACCTACACGATTTCCTATAGGATATCTAATAGAATCCTATAGATTACTATAGACCGTCTTATAGGTAAACCTATAGGTAACCTATAGATTATTTTTGTAAGGGTTGCTATGGGTGTTGAGCAGAGAATATAGTCGTTTAGTTGTAGTATTGTGAACTGCAGTGTATGTAACATCAATGGCTATTGGGAAAGTAACAATAGGCAGCGTAATAAACTCTGAGAATAACGTATTGATTTTAGGCTTGATATCGCGAACGATAACATATCATTGCGCTAGCAGCGTGCGAGCGAAAAAAGCACACGGGCCGTAGAAATCTTTGCTACACCCGCTGTACGGTTTCTTGGCAGAGCAACGCGAAAGTGTCAACAACATTGGAGAATTTGAACAACATTGGAGGTATTTTCAAATACCTTTTATAAGACAACGCGCAGTGAAATGGGAGGAACTAGAGTTAATTTTGTCATAAGGTAGTATGATTATGCATGACACAAAGTCTAGTTTGCTTAAAACCCACAAGAAAGAGGTGAGAAAACTGGAATTCTGGCGCAAACGCCGACTGCCAAACAATATAGCCTCGAAGTGGTGACGTGTCTTTGCTGCGCCTGTACCGCTGTACCGCAGCACCGCTGAACGGTTGCTTGGGGATTGGGGAAATAGCTGTCAACAACATCGGAGAATTTCAACAACATTGGCGGTATTTTCAAAATACCTTTTATAAGACAACGTGCAGTGAAATTAGTTTATTTTGTCATAAGGTAGTGTGATTATGCATGCCACAAAGTATTTGCTAGTCTAGTACTGGAGCAATTAGCATTTGGATGCGCATTGTGAGCCTTTAAACTTTGCAGAGTTAATGTTTGTGGAATGATAGGGTCTACAAAATGTTATATTTCAAGATTATATTGATCACTGTGGACTTTCAGACTTCGGCAAGTTAAAAATTAAAAAGTTTTTTTTTTAATTCAAATTAATTAAACATGAACAAGTGCCGCGACAGTGCTCATCTAACGTCTACTGCGGTGGCTCTGTGGTGGAGTGGTGGGATTCTAGTAAACCCTGTTAGTCCCAAATGTGTTCACATGATCTTAAAATTTGGTGCGGGTTTCCGATGAATGCCGAAGTTTCTTCGGGCACATAACTTTTTAGAAAATTGCCTCCAAAAGTCACTTTACGTTCGAAAAATCGCGTTCTAACGTAGCGGAATGTATTCGGGACGCGCAGAAGGGGCCCCAGCTCGATTTGCGTGAGCACACGTGGCACAGTTTCGGAGGAGATACGGAAAACGACACTTCGGTTCTTTCTACTATTATATTAGATATATATAATATGCAGTATCCAATATATTGTAGTAGCATATCTAAATATAGGATAATTAAAGTGTCAATGACACTATAGCTCACAACCACTATCCACCTACATTATATAAAACAATAGTATATATTATGGGAGAACTCCCATTATATAGCATATCTCCCATTATAGCGACCGTAGTGAGCTCCTTAGACTATACTATATGCGATCCAATAATTTGCTTTTTTTAAATATAAAAACGCGTGTGATATGTTTTGGGGCCAGTCCTTATCAGTGTTTGCCACTGAGCAGAAAAAGCTGTAGGCCTGCAGGGCCTATAGCTCCTAAAAGCTGCAGGCCTGCCAGCAAAGCTGTAGGCCCCCCAATTTTGGAGCAAATTACAGTAATAAAACAGCATATCATGTTCTGCCTTGTGTTTATTAGTAATTATCAATTTCCATAATCATAATCCCTCTGTTTTTCCTTCCACTCGTCGGATAATTGTTTATGTTATTGTTGTTATATGTAGCTCCTTGGTAACTACGACTCTCCACTTTGACAGCAGAGAGACAGACTGGTAGTCTGGTACACATCGGTAGCAACGTAGTAGCGTCTCATAACATTGCGAGTGGAGCCGTCATACGTACACCAGTCTAACCATGTGTCGATCATACAGTCATGTCGATTGGTCGAAATCTGAGACACTTGCTCAGGCCAGACCCACGGTCACCCACCAATGAGAAACGATTTCATGTTACTCGCAGCTAATTCCGCACTCGACTGGCAACTTGCCCTTTAGTTTACTACACTGTGGTGCGCAGCTTGGAACAGGGTTCCAGGCTATCGCTCTTTCATTTACAATCAGGCTGCGCGAATATGCAGTGGGCATTGTTTACATGTATGTCACGGTTTATCACGGATTAGTTTTCAAATAAATACCTCTGGAAGTTAATATGCAAGAAAAGATTTCTACAGGTAACAGTTTCTCAGTGTTTCGAATTTTTGGTTATCAAGTAGCTGTAGGGTCAGCTGGCCCGTTTTATCAAGAAGCTGTAGGTCCGGCATCGAAACTCTCGGCGGCGGGCCGACGAGCCAACGTGAATTTCGAACATTGGTCCTTATTCATTCATATACCAATGAAAGTGTCAATGACACTATAGCTCACCGTGGGTGTGATAGAAGAGGGAGATGATATTTAAAATTTGGTAAGTGTTTCATTCATGACGAACCAAAATGTGATCAAATCCCTTCCCTTCCGTGTTTTTATTCCCTGTTTTATACTAATAGAAATTTCACTGCTTTGTTTCAGGGTTAGGTTTTATGCGAAAATAAATGTTTCAGATCTGAAAGTCTGAAACCTGGGCGAGAGATGGCGCTACGCCTAAATAAAAAATGATCGCCATTTTGGTTTTCGATTATCGCACAAATAAAAGCAATAAAATATTCCAGTCAAATTACTGTAACGAAGAATCTAAAACACAATATTACACGTAGGCATGATTAGGTAGGTAGGTAGGTAGGTAGGTAAATTTAACAAAATTGAATAAATATAGATGGCCTTTTTCATTTTTGCCAAAAGGTGAGCGTGGCTCGAAAGTAGGTCGACTGGCGTGCTCCAAAATTATAGGACGTTCAAATCCCTCCCATGGGAGTAACAAAACACGTGGGTCAAACGGTTCTTGAGTTATCGTTGACCGTAGGCAGACACTGAAATGCATAGTAAAATTGGCAAAATATACCTAATTTGCATAATTTTTACAAAATATCGAAACCCCTGTGATATCTTTTGGGGCCAGTCCTTATTCATTCACATACCAAAAATTATCAAAATCCGTTGAACCTAAACTGACTTTAACTTATGGCCATTTCCATTTTTGTCAAAAAGTGGGCGTGGCTCAAAAGTAGGTCAACTGGCGTGCTCCAAAATAGGACGTTCACATCTCTCCCATAGGAGTAACAACTCTATGTAATTTGAAATATGTGGGTCAAATCGTTCTCAAGTTATCGTTGACCATAGCCAAATGTTGACGGACGGACAGACGAACGACGACCCATGGCAATAGCTCATCTTAAGTCAAACGTCTGGGTGTTTGAAAACACTGCTTGAATTTTCCGACG